TCCCTCCCTGTCTCTTTCCTCAAAGTTCTTTGTTTTTGTTCTGACCTCCAAACCTTTTCCAGCTTGTCTGCTTAAATACAATCTCTACAACTGTTACTAAGCAGGAACAGGAAAAATCTTGTTATTTCAAGGAGTTTTCTCCTTGTTCCAATCTGTTATTAATTAGTAAAGCTTTGTATAATGGGCTTTATCTAATGTAGACCACTTTTAATAGCATCTGGCATGGATGTGCATGTCATTGACATCAACTGCCATGGCACTTGGTAGGATTGTTGCAGCCACTATGGTTCTGTGCTCCACTTTCTCCCATTGCAAGCTCCCTATTTTTGGATAGGACACACGTAGTATATCTCATGAATTAAATGATTGGCTTCAGACTTAACCTGGATTCACTCATTGCACTGCACCATAAATATATTTTGTTTAGTTTTGGCTTAGCGTGTTATATGAAACCAGCCAACTGTAGCTTATTCAATAAATAATGGTGTAAAGCCAGCTTTAGTCATGCTTAGAAGGGACCCATGACTAACTTAAATCCTATTAATTTCATCAAGTTTATTCTAAGTATGACTAACCTGGTGACTGTTTATATCCATTCAAATAACTGGCCTTTTTCTACCATTTTATTCAGGAACTCAGAATATTCTTGAGAAATATCATCAGCATAAATATACATTGTCCCTTTGAAGCACTTTCATTTTAAATCAAAAGCACATTCAGAGGAGGGCATATCTACCAAATTCATGAATAGGTTTTCTGAGGAAGTCTCTTTCAAAAATATAACTCTCGTGATTTCCCCCTAAGTACAGAAATGTATGATTTCACGGTACAATAAGAATTCAGTTGCAACGAACATAACATGTCTGTTCTTATTGCTGGTCTTGGGGGAAGATTGTTTGATTTTGTTATTGTTGTTGTTGTTATTGTTGTTTTTAGAGTGGGGTGGAGTCAAAGAAGAAGCCATGATGTTCTAATTACAGCCAATAAATTATATATTATAGCGCATGTTGCTCTCTTTTCCTGGAACAAGACCTCAAAGGAAGATAGGCTAAGTACAGATAGTAGTACTGAACTGAGTCAATTTACACAATTAGTTTTGGCATTCATTAAAAAAATCAACTTGATTTTAAAATAGTAAAAGCTTTCATTGTGGCATGAAGGAATTCCTTGTCTCACAGGCCACAGAATGGCTCTTTGAGAATCCTCAGAAATCTCACTATGAAGCCACAATAATGATTCTATTGTTAGGCATTTGCTAGCAACACCATTTAAATGCTACTCCTTAGAAAAATGGGTTGATTTGGTCTGCCAATATAAAATCCAGTATATAGCACGACTTCAGTGGGAAGCACAAGCTCTCACCATTTCAGGAAGTTCACAGAAAAAAACAACACTGAATTGTGTAGAGTATGAAAAATTATTTAAAAATTATTTATTGAATGGAAAATATGAATATATAGTCCTATCATTTCCTCAAAACTGTTATTTCTTCCATGGCAATAAAAGATTTCCAAACTGGTGTCCTCCAAGTATTCATTGATTGAAACTCAGCTATGTTCCCAGGAAGTTCTCAGAATTCTGGGCTATCATCCAAGCGATGCCAGATTGATGAAATTTGTATTGGACAATAATGTTTACAAGGATGCAGCTATAAGTAATTGTCTTAAAAAGCTGTTGAACACCAGTACCCCAGACCCAATTCCCTTCTTTTCCACCAACTCTCTCATTTCTCAACAGGAAGAAAAGAAAAGATCTGAGCAAACTTGCTCAATGTGCTTCAATTATCTTTCCCACTAATTGCATCGGGAGGGAAAACACCCAATAAGGTAGTTTTACTGAAGTAACCATTGACTTGTGGCAACCAAGGAGAAGAGATTGTAATTTTTCAAGTATAATTTGTTAGGGATCATACATTAATTGTAGAACAGCTGAAACAAGAGGTGGATAGGGCCAGATCTAAAACTGGATAAAGTATCCATTGTTTTGTTTTTTTTTCTTTTTAAACCTTCTCACTCTTTCACCTTCACTGTTTCCCTGTCTACTTGCTGAACTGATAGACTAAGGACATCATGTGATCTTAGAGCATCAAGCTGTCTGTTCTTAATGTAGGTCACCAAAACGTCATCAAGTATACTATATTTTTATGTTTTAAAAATTACCTAGAGTAATTTAAAAAGTATGCATAGAACAGCACTGAAATATCAAAAATTACAGCATATTGCAATAACAAAAGGAAACAAATTAAAATTGTGATGTAAACAACAATAGCAACAGCAATAGCAATATCAATAGCACTTAGACTTATATACCACTTCACAGTGGTTTTTACAGCCCTCTCTAAGCAGTTTACAGAGTCAGCATATTGCCCCCAACAATCTGGAACAATCAGAAGGATGGAAGGCTGAGTCAACCTTGAGCCGGTGAGATTTGAACTGCCAAACTGCAGCTAGCAGTCAGCTGAAGTAGCCTGCAGTGCTGCACTCTAACCACTGCACCACCTTGGCTTGATTGCATTGCATTGCTTCTTCTTCAGCCTTTTCTCAAACAAGGAAGAGAAACAATGTCTCTTTTCAACCTTTTCCCCATCAATGTCATTGGAAAGCATGGGATAGACTGCAAATGCTTTGGTCACATGATCGGATGGAAGGTGTCAGACCCAAAGAACAAAGAATGACACCTAGAGAAACTTCTGAAATTCCAAGCTTCTCTGCCACCTTGCCCTCTGGGAAGCAACTCCTGCCTCCTGGGACTCCAGACCACATTCCACCCCCATCAGGGAAACTTAAAATATAGCTCAACGCATTCAGCAACTGCACAGCTGACTCTTCCATAGGGAATTTTTTTCAAGAGTCAAAAGGCCATTTTTAAACTGATTCTTTCTTTTGCCAACTTCTCCCCCAGCACCAAATTTATTCTATTCAATTTTATTTTTCTTCCAACATTATATTGGGTTATAAAGAATTGTAAGACAGGAAACATAAATCAGCAATCCTCACCTTGTAATCAAATTTAAATGTATTTTCCAGTATGGTATAATATATAAAAATATTGGGTTGGTAGCCCTCTCAACATGCAGTGATTAATCTAGAATCATAACAATATAACAATAATAATATAACCAACTCACCACTATTTTATCAAAAAAGACATTGAGTTAGCTTTTTTTTCTCCCAAATGTCATGCAAAGTATCAATTTTATTTATTTCCTTCAACCTTTTATAAAGAAGGATTGCTAAATTAGGAGCTACAAGACAGAAACAATAGTACATGAACAATTCCGTATATGGGAACAACTACAAGGAAAGACTTACTGATTCTTTCATAAGAAATATGATATCTGAAAAAGGAAGGAACTATCCATTTTCAAAAAGTATTTGCAGATATCCCATCAAGTAATTTATCTTATGTCTATATTGGACTGATGGATATTATAAATCCACCAAATAAGGAGCCCTGGTGGCACAGTGATTACAACACAGTATTGCAGGCTAACTGTTCCCACAGTCTGAAATTCGATCCTGATGGGGCTTGAGGTTGACTCAGCCTTCCATCCTTCCAAGGCTGGTAAAGTGAGTAATCAGATTGTTGGGAGGGCAATATGCTGAGATCATAAACCGCTCAGAGAGTCTAAGTGCTGTTGCTATTTTCCATAATGGTACCCCTTACTGTCAATAGGTTTTTAGATATATTAGGAGAGTTTACTAGGACAGTTTTATCAGAACAGAACAGAATAACAGAGTTGGAAGAGACCTTGTATGTCATCTAGTTCAACCCCCCCGCCCAAGCAGGAGATCCTGCAGTCCAGTCTCTTCTTGAAAGGTTCCAGTGATGAAGCTCCCACAACTTCTGAAGGCAAGCTGTTCCATTGGTTGATTGTTTTCACAAATTTAACATTTTTACCTTAATTTTGATTATGTATCATCAAGTTGATGTCAATTCTTAGTCACCTCATTCAACTATTAATTCAGAATCATATAAAATCTTACTGATGTTAGCCCAATAATGGAGATGTGCAAAATATTTTGGGTGCAAATTTTTCCATGGAGGAACAGCTTGCTTCTGGTATTCCATATCCAAATATGAAATACATATTTGTCAGTGTTCAGACTGAAATATGCATGTTTCAATCTGGATGTAGATCAAAAAGTCAGACAGAAAGTGTTTTGGCTCAAGTGAGCAGGCTTAATTTTTCCTAAGGTCATGTAAATAACTAATATCAATTCCATCAGTCTCCTTCAACTTTCTGTAAAGTAGGCTTATTTGTTTAAATTTAGAAGCTGCCCAATCCCACAAGACTCTGGGGTGATTATGTTATAAAATAAAAAAAACAACATAACCAGAAAGAGAAATTATGAAGAAGAAATGATGAATCTCTGAAGGGACAAACACAACACTCTGAAGAAAAACTAACAGGAGCTCCACACATCGATCTTGTGGATAATTAGCGTATTTGCAGGTTAAAATGGTAACCGTGACTTATAGTTTTTATTTTTAAAAAAACACCTTGGATTTACATTTCAGCTGAGAAGTTAAAATTAGCCTTGGCTATCCTGGCTTGGCTTTGCTTTGTTTTACAAAATTGAGCCCCACCTGTAGAAAGGAGCTATAACATGTCCGTTTGACTAAAGCCTGGACTTACGTTAGGAATCTCATGAAGAACTACTGCATAGCAGCAGCTCCTTCTGGGTGGTAGATTCACAGGAAAGCAGGGAGGAAAATAAACAGGCTGGGATGAGAGCAAAGCCATGATTACAAAGATTGTGCAACTGGATTCTCCAACCAATGGGATGTAATAGCTTGTGGCTGAAAGTTCAGGAAGGAGAAGGTCAAAAGTGCCTTCTAAAATTTGTTGTGGATTCCCTTATGTGGCATAGGGCAGTCCATGGTGGCTCTTTCCTTACATGCAGCTGACATCAACAATGGAACTGCAGGGCATTCCTAGAACTCTCTTAAATAACTTTTTTTCCTTCCTTAAACAGACAGGATGCTCTTTGTCAAAAAGGATAAAATATATTGCTTCACAATCCTTGGGGGGAAATAAAAAGTCAGATGACTTGTTGCAGGATGTCTGAGCAAGTGGGAAGGTATGTTAATGTGGTGTAGTGATTAAGTTGTAAGACTAGGGGTGGGGACAACCAGGTTATAGTTCACCTCAGTCACAGAGGCTCACCATATGAGCTGGGGTCAGTTACTATGTCCCAGCTGAACCCACCTTGCAGAATTGTTGTGGGGCAAATTGAAAGCGCTATCTAGTGGAGCTTTTCTTCTAGTGTTTTGGTGTGCTAAATCATGATTACAAAGATGGTTTAAAGAATTTTCAATCAAACTTTAGCCATGGCAATTATATCCTAAGGAACAACATAATGAGGTAATTACATACATTCTCTCCCAAGTAGTATACCTGCTGTAGTTAATTTGAAACAGAATTATGTACAAATGATGAGCATATTATTGCTAAAATGTATACATTTTTGTTGAAAAGATCAAAAAGCAAAATATATGATAAAAGAGCTAAAAATTTTGGAACAATGGAACAATGTGGAACAATGGAAGAATAAGTGGATAAAAGGATTGAAATTCACATTACGTTATAATCTTAAAGAAATTATAATGATGTACTTTTGGTATTTGTCATTGGAAAAACTGCCCATAATGTATAAAAATACTTCAAATAATGGACGTGTAACAAAGCCAAAAAATCGGATTCAAATGCACACATTAATTCAGAAGATATTAAAGATTAATATACAACTGAACCCAGATCTGTTCCTTTTGGGACTGATGGACAAACGGGAAAAAGTTCAGTTATAAGATAATAGCAGTGAGACTGTTATATGCACCATGGTGGAAAGGTGTGACATAACCAAAATGGAAGAATGGATGATGAAGTTGATGGAGCTACCTGAGATGGCAAAATTGACATCTTTGATTAGAGAAAAAACACTACTTTTAATGATGATTAGAAGCACCTTTTGAACTTCCAGATGGAAAAAAATGACATTATGTTATATGGGTTTGATGATTATAAAAAATAGTAGATAATAGAAAAAATGAAAGTTATATCAGAAATTTAGAGTAAGCGATTACGATAATGTAAATTTAGCTTATACTAGTTGTAAAAGAAAATTTGAAGTAATTTCTTTGTATTTTTACTGTGTTTTTCTCTGGAATTTTGGCTTTGGTTTCTCTTTCATCCTTTATCCTTTTATCTTAATTATTAGTTCTTGATAGTTTTTAGTTCTCTAGTTTTAAAAAAATCTAGTCAAGTTAGAATGTAGAAGAGTGGGCATTGAGGGTGGATAGTAAAGTTACTGCCCCATGAACTGCATTGGTTGCCATTCAATTATGGGTGCAATTCAAAATGGTGTTCACCAAGTCCTTCAAAACATAGGGCTTGCTTGGCCTGGACAGCCAGACAGAATAGAGGTGTTCCAGGTCCCATCAACTGATGGTACTCAGCAAAAGCATGACATCTCTGTCATGGCACCTGCCCTCTAGAATGCCTGCCTGCCTGCCTGCCTGCCTGCCTGCCTGCCTGCCTGCCTGCCTGCCTATCTATCTATCTATCTATCTATCTATCTATCTATCTATCTATCTATCTATCTATTATCTGTCTGTCTGTCTGTCTGTCTGTCTGTCCGTCTGTCTATTATCTGTCTGTCTGTCTATCTATCTATCTATCTATCTATCTATCTATCTATCTATCTATCATCTATCTATCTATCTATCTATCTATCTACTTTCTAATTTAAATTCTGATCCCTCAAAACACCTTGTGTTTGTTTTTTAAAAATCTGGTGCTGCACTTTAGACAGGCCTTTAGACTCTTTGGGCCTTGGGGATTGGAGAGGCTGTCAAAACAAAAACATGTTTAAGTTGCTTCTGCTTTCTAATTCTAGATGCCATCAAGACAGAAGTTTCATAAAAGAATGAGAATGATATTTGAACAGACTGAAATTATCATTTGTGAAGCAGCTGCAAAAGGCATAGATGCCAACAGGCGTGGACTGAACTCTTGCATCACTCCAAAAAGGAAAGAAATGTCAACTGGAAAGCAAACAAATGCCTACACTGTGTGCCCATGTAAAGAAAAAAAAAACAAAACCAAGCACTCTTAGTGGGAGAGATTTCGCAAACTTGTACATTCTTAAAACTGTGATTTAATAAAATGTTAGCAAGACCACTAATTATTGGAAGGAATTTGTACAAAGGTGAATTGTATGTTTTTTCTTAAAGGCAATTGTTGTGCCTGCAAAATTCATATCACAAATAGATTTTGGGTAGGAAAAGAAATGAAGAACAGATTGCCATCATAGCAATGTTCTAAAGAGTAACAACTTAGTTTTTCTGTAGAACAAGAATTAATGCCACAATTGGCTTTACTGGGCAATACTTTTTTAAAACATGCAAGAATAGAATGTCATTTTGAGAAGAGTAGGACATCACACTGGCTTTTTAAATATGTAGATAAGGGGAAATGTTGGGCTGATATGTACGTGGCATATTGAAATAATGTACAGGAAGTATCTGCATCATAATTTTCATCATCCTGAAAATTATGTGATTGTCTTACCATCTAAATAAGCTGTCATTTTGGCCTATGTTTGAAGACTGTGAAGAAACTTAAGAAGTTCAGCTGTGAAAAGCATTTAAAATTAGACTTTTGTTTAAAGAACATTCCTAATCACCAATCATTTTAATTTTCAAGAGGGAAAAACTGGTTTGTGATTTTGAAAATCAGAAATGTTCCAGTGGTATGGTTTTTAACTTTATAAAGATGAATGGATGGATGGATGGAAGGAAACTTCCTAAGTCCTATCCCTTGATACTTTAGATAAATCTGGAAAGGATTCTTACTTGATCTTTTTTTTTTCGGTGTCAGAAGAACTTATAATTCAAATAAAATAGGTATAAAATAGGTCATAAAAATATAGCACGCATAAAAAGTATGTAAATAATAGAATTAAAACTAAATGACATTCACCCAGTAGCGGGCCACTTCAACAGGATTTTCTCTCACCAGTGTGAGGTTTTTCTCTGTCCATGTTGAAGGACATTGTATGCACCATAGTATATACTAAATTAGCTTAGAAGACAGATCATTTTTCTGAGCTCAGAATACTTGACAGCTTTTTTTTCACTTTCATGTGGCTCCTCCCTCCCTCCCTCCTTTCCCTCATTTGCTTTCTTATAGTATATGGGGAAAGTTTCTTAATGAAGCAAAAACAAGAATGCAAATGAACTAATGCTCTAAAGCAGGGCTGTCAAACTCCCAGCCGGTGGGCTGGATGTGTCATGTGTTGGCCATCCCCACCCCATTTTAACGAAGGGGGAAAAAGTCCCGATATGTCACGTGATGTCACCATGACGATGTGAGTTTGACACCCCTGCTGTAAAGAATACAATTTGTACTATATTTAACTAAAATCTTATATAGCATTGTGAAATTTAAATTCAAACAGCTTCCCATGCAAACAGAAATCATTTTTACTGGATAGGTTGATATGCCATATAAAACTGTAGGCATATGAAATACTTCTTGAATTTTCTGAAGTATACTGCAAAGTATGAATGGCTCCTCCTGTCACAAGAAATTTTAATCAACCAGGAAATATAGGTAAACTTTTTTCTGGGCAAATCCAGAGCTGATATAACACCTCAGTTTCTTCATGTGAAGTGGCCAACTGAACTTTTCATTAAGTTCAGTAAATTAAATGGACTATTTTCTATTAGATAGGACTCTTTTATATTGTTTCTCACTTTTATCCCTGTTTACTCCCATTTAGATCTAAATTATGACTTGTATCAGCCTTCTGAGACAAACCAGTTGTAAGACTCTGTATCATTATAATATACTTGTGACCAATAATTATAATATACTTGTGAATAGTTACAAGCATATTTTGTTGCAGGTAGCCAACTACCTGCAACAAAATATGCTTGTAACTATTCACAAGTATATTATAATATTGGTCACAAGTATATTATAATGATACAGAGTCTTACAAAAAAATCTGCATAATTGCTGGTAATTTGGTGTCTGAAAATAACTGTTAGTTGTTCCTTAAGAATATTAAATACAATTTAGCAAAATTATGCAAATTGACTTCTGTGTTATTCCTAGTATATGATAATATTTTCTTAGAAAACATACTTTCAGAAATGTATGGAGTTTTGAAATGTTGAGGCAAAAAAACCCTTACATGCTACATTAATGTTAGAATCTGATTTTGTATATCAATGATAGAAAGAAGCTGTTAATGCATGCTCACCAATTGCAACTTCTGATGAAGGGAAATGGTTTATAACATTTTAAATCATTTTATGATTTTTTCCCCTACAATGTATGTTATATCTGGCCTGTATAAAACCATTTTCTGGTTTTCACTTGAGCATGACAGGAAAAAAGACATTGTTCTTAAAAATCCCTCAGCTCAGTACTTCTAAGGACTGACAGGAGGGAAGGCAAATAAAGGCATCATTCTGTCCTGGAGCTGGCTATCCCACTGGAAAATTTAGCTGAGTAAAGGGGATGCATGAAAAAACGTGTGGGAATGAATACCTTCATTGACTGGTCTGCTCTCTTGTCAGCTGCTTATTGGAAAGGATGTGAACACTGATGATATGAAAATTAAACCTCTTATATTCAGTGTTATCTAGCCAAACCAGATCTCCTGTGGTTAATCCTAAAGAGACTGTATCAATCTTGAATGTGAGCCATTCCTGCAAATCTCTTTCAGATATCATTAACAAAATATGGAAATACTGAGTTGAAAAACGTTCCTTTACATCTAGTCTCTGTAAGCTTTATAACACTGTGGCTCATGGATTAAGGTGCAATTACATTGCTTGAAGGACACAACCAACTTGAACCAGGAATCAGGAGGCTTTTGGAACAAAGGAAGCCAATTGCTGTTGCTCTGCCCCCTTTCAATAAACATCTGTTCATTTTCATTGTCAACAGTAATCAGGCTCTGATATTTTTTTTTTTCATCATTATCCTATTTCAATCATTCTTGCAATGGTTTCAGTTTTACTTCATAAAAATCTTTTTATAAAATTTTGCTTCCATTTGATTCTTTGCCTATATTTCCATAGGAATAGTGGAGGCAATGCATATGTGTTTCAGCAAAGAGATGCAAGACTGAATAGGTTTTAAGATAAGCAAACTAGCCAGTGGTACAACAGCAGTGAGCGCAGGGGTGAAATCCAGCAGGTTCTGACGGGTTCTGGAGAACCGGTAGTGGAAATTTTGAGTAGTTTGGAGAACCGGCAAATACCACCTCTGGCTGGCCCCAGTGGGGGGAGGGAATGGGGATTTTGCAATATCCTTCCCCTGGAGTGGGGTGGGAATGGAGATTTTGCAATATCCTTCCCCTGGAGTGGGGAGGGCATGGGGATTTTGCAATATCCTTCCCCCTAGAATGGGGTAGGAATGGAATTTTTGCAGTATCTTTCCCCTGCCCACCAAACCACACCACGCCCACCAAGCCACGCCCGCAGAACCATAGCAAAAAAAATTGGATTTCACCACTGAGTGAGCGTCTATATTTTAAACCATGTTCCATTCTTGGACTGCAACTGATGAATACTCTGACCATTTCCTTTTCCTCAGTAAAAAGTAAAGTCTTTTTCCCTTAGAGTCACAATGAAACAAATAAAAAAAACCCATTTTTCTATATTTGGGGTACTCATCAATACATCCACAGAAATGAATTGGCATTGACAGAAGTTCCTTTCTCACCCTACTTTTGATTTTTTTTTAAAAAAAAATTATAAACACATTTATAACTGGAGGTGATAATCAAGGACTTCCATGATCTTTATTTCCAAGGATGCCCTTGGATTTACATTAGCCCTTAGGCATTCATAAAATAACAATGGGATATGGCTGTAGCTCAGAATTTTGTAGATGTGACTACTTATCCCAAAAAAGAAAATGAAAATGAAGCTAAACTGGGCTTTGAAAGGATGAATAGCACAATTAAAGAAGGTGAAAGGGACCAACTCATCAGTTTCTTTTGAATATATTGATGTTTTGTGCCTGGTGGAAGCCATTTAGTGAATGAGCAAGTTCCCATGGCAGCTATTTTCTTCTATGGGTCCACTGGTCTCAAGTAATTGGGTTTTATACGTATCAAAAGTTAACAACTTTTTTTCTATTGAGAAGGAACAGATTCACTTGTTATTAACACATTGTGACACATATACTGGTGTTGACATTATTGGAGAATAGCAGTGTTAGGCAAAAAAATATCAGGATTCTGGTAGCACCTTTTTCTAACATATTTTATTAAAAGATACAGGTTTTCATGAACTTCAGCTCATTTCATTGGATGCAGAGTGTCTAAACCAGAGGTTTTCAGATTTGGCAGCTTTAAGCTACGCTGGCTGGAGAATTCTGGGAGTTGAAGTCCACAAGTCTTAAAGCTGCCAAGTTTGAAGACCTCTGGCCTAGACAGATGTAGGATTTGAACTGAAATGGGATGGGAGGGTATAATGAGATGGAAATAAAAAGGGAGGGACAGAAATGTTGGTTATGCAGATACAGGTGATCTCTGATACAAATTACCGTACATCTGCTGGGGTAAGGCTGATGAAAACTGTGATTAAAAAAAACAGGGCCAAAAGAAACTCTGATGAGCACTTCTTCCCCATGCAATGAATTGTTGTGGAAGATGCATGTAGTTATTAACTACATAGTATCATGCTGCGACGATTGGAGGGGTTGGGAGTGGGGAGCACCGTGTTGCGGTGGTTCTCCTCCTTCCTCTCTGACCATGTGCAGTTTGTGTTGGCAGGGGGCAGAGGTCAACCTCGAGGCACCTTGTATGTGGGGTGCTGCAAGGGTCAGTCCTCTCGCCCCTTCTGTTCAACATTTATGTGAAGCCACTGGGCGAGATCATCTGTGGTTTCAGGGTGAGATTCCACCAGTACGCTGATGATACTCAGCTGTACATCTCCACCCCGACCACCCCAATGATGCCCTTGACGTGATGTCCCAGTGCATGGAGGCTGTGCGGATCTGGATGGGGAGAAACAAGCTTAAACTCAACCCCTCCAAGACCGAGTGGCTGTGGCTCCCGGCGTCCCGGTATAGTCAGCTGGTTCCATCGCTGACTATTGGGGGCGAGACCTTGGCCCCCTCAGAGAGGGCTCGCAACTTGGGTGTTCTCCTGGATG